AAAGAGGACGGTCTTAAGGTGTGATTTAAACAGCTGTCAATAGTGGTGAGGAGGCCGTGCAGCAGGCCTGTGTTAGCTGAGCAAATCCTTCTGCTGGCTTCATCCACCCACACAGTGTGGCCCACAGGTAAAAATATTCTTTTTCTGTGACCTTGTTTGGGTTATGTTTGCGGTTTGTTCTTCTGAATCAGTTACAGCATTCTGATCAGCTAACATTTTTCTGTCTGAGCAGAGGAGTAAGGTCCAAGCAGGTCAGAGAGGTTCGGAAGTGCGAGGACATGAAGGGATTTGTATGTAAGGATGAGGACATTGAAGTCAATCTGTTTGGATTGATCTTAGCGAGAATTCAAAAAGAGAATGGATTCACCACCAGTGCTGGAAATGGCTACCTAAATGTTCATATAAAAATACACATTGCAGTATTCTATTGATATTTTTATTGTAAAACGTGTATTTTAAAATGCCTCCGATCCTATCTGGTTTTAATGATGTGATGTGGTAAAACATCAATGACTCCCAATCACTATTGAATTTTCCAAATTCAGTCTTGCCTGGACACTGTATCCTAATTCAACACCATGGGTGATGATGAGAGTGAAATAGCCATATTCTCTTTGCTGATTGCTAATACATTAGAATACATTAGAATATACAGCTCAGAAATAGGCCATTCGACCCAACTGGTCTATGCCAGTGTTTATGCTCCACATACGTCCCTTCCTGCCCTTTCTCAACTAAGCCTTCAAGCATAACCTTCTATTCCTTTCTCTCTCATGTACCTATCTAGCTTTCATTTCAATACATCTATGCTATTTGCCTCAACGACCCCTTTTCTCTTCTCACCCTCCTCCACAACACCCTCTCCTCCACACTCGACACACTTGCCTGCATCACCTCCCTTACTGTCTCCTACTCTCGCTCCTCCCCCTGGTTCACCACCCACCTCCGCTCACTGAAGAGCCAGATGCGGGCCGCTGAACGCACCTGCGTCAAATCTGGCCAAACGGTCCACCGACAAATCTGGCTGGACCTCCTCAAAATCTACCGCTCCACTCTAGCCTCGGCCAAGTCGTCCTTCTACTCCAGGATAATCCTGGAGGCGAAGAACAACCCCAGGCTTCTGTTTTCTACCACATCCCGACTCCTCCGTCCCCCCCGCCACCCCGCGCAGGTCATCTCCTCCAACCTTCACTGCGAGGAGATGCTGGATTTCCTTGAATCCAAAATCAAGGGAATCCGCTCCGCGGTCACTTCCCCTCCAACTCCACCCACCCCCCACCCCCTCCCTCCCACACTCCGACTCCTACCCATCCTCCCCTACACACTTTCGTACCCGTTTCCCCACCCTCTGTCACCAAACTCATCCTATCCCTGAAACCCACCACCTGCTCCCTTGACCCCATCCCCACTCCACTCCTTATCTCCCAGCTCCACCTCCTTGCCCCACATATCACAGACATCGTCAACCTGTCCCTCTCCTCTGGCTCTGTTCCCATTCCCTTAAAAACTGCCACCATCACTCCCACCTTGAAAAAACCCTCCCTTGATGCGTCGCAGCTATCAAGCTACCGGCCCATCTCCAACCTCCCCTTCCTGTCCAAGGTCCTTGAAAGAGTTGTCGCCTCCCAGCTGCGCTCTTTCCTCTCCACCCATTCATTATTCGAACCCCTTCAGTCGGGTTTCAGTGCTGCCCATAGCACAGAAACTGCCCTGGTCAAGGTCACCAATGACATCCTGACCATCTGCGATCAGGGCTCCCTCTGTTTCCTCGTCCTCCTCGACCTATCGGAAGCATTCGATACGGTCGACCACGCTATCCTCCACCACCGCTTGTCCTCCCACCTGTCTGCCTGTCTGACATTGAGTCCTGGACGAGAGACAACTTTCTTCAGCTCAACGTGCGTAAAACTGAGGCCCTCCTGATTGGCTCGCGTCAGCGCCTCCGCACCTCAGGCGTTGACACCATCAGCATCCAAGGCTGCACTCTCCACCTCTCAAAGTCAGTCAGGAACCTCGGCGTTCTATTCGACCCTGAGCTGTCCTTTCTCTCTCATATCCGCGCCACAACTGGCACTGCCTTCCATCACCTCCGGAACATCGCCAGACTACGGCACTACCTCACCCCTCACGCTGCTGAAACCCTGGTCCATGCCTTTATCACCTCAAGGCTGGACTATGGGAACTCTCTCCTCGCCGGCCTTCCCGCCATCTCCCTCCACAAGCTGCAGGTCATTCAGAGCTCTGCAGCTCGTGTACTGTCCCGCACCAGGCTTCGGGACCACATCACTCCCACCCTCGCTCGCCTCCACTGGCTCCCCATCCTCCAGAGGATCGAATTCAAGATCCTCATCCTCACCTACAAGGCCATTCACGGCCTTGCTCCCTCCTACCTCTCCGACCTACTATCCCCTTACTTACCTGCCCGTACCCTCCGTTCCTCCGGCTCCGGTCTGCTCCACATCCCCCGCTCCAACCGCCCTACCATCGGTGGCCGGGCCTTCAGCCTCTCAGCCCCTCGGCTCTGGAACTCCATCCCCCAGTGCCTTCACTGCTTCCTCCCTTTCCTCCTTCAAGGCCCGTCTCAAGACCTTTCTCTTTGACCGTGCCTTCAGCTCCCCTCTCGACTCTCTACCCCTTCCTCGCTCCCTCCCTTCCCTCCCCTCACCCTGACCATTTCCCCCCAATGCTCTGGTCCTGACCCAACTGTACAGCACCTTGGGACGTCCTCCCGACATGAAAGGCGCTCTATAAATGGAATCTTGTTGTTGTTGTTGTTGTTGTTGTGGTGGTGGTAGCATATTCCACATTCCCAATACTCTCTGTGTGAAGAAATATCGTCTAACTTATCTAATGCCCTACTTGATCTATTTGTGAATATTTTATATTGATGGCCCCTGGTTTTGGTCTCCCCCACGAGTGCAAACATCTTTCCTATGTCTACCCTATCAAAATCTTTCATAATTTTAAAGACCTCTATCAGGTCACCCCTTACCCTCCTCTTTTCAAGAGAAGAGTCCAAACATGTTCAGCCTTTCCTGATAGGTATAATGCAGTGACCTCTGCTGGTAAATTCAGAATACGCGGCTGAGCCAACCTCAGCTCAGTGATACTGCCAGTCTTCAATACTTTTAGGGCTCACACATGAACAGTACCCAATTGAGTGTGGTATTTGAGTGCTGCTGGAGCCTGTGGAATTGAATTCCTGCACGGGTCAGTGCCTTCAGGAGAGTAGGAGGAAAACTGTTGGACAATTGAATAAAAAAGTGTATATTTGTTTGCAAAGATTCTTTCCAGCTGTTTCCATTGTATTTCTCTGCCAGGAAGCAATGATGATTTTTTTTTCTCAATTTTCATGATTTTCGTTTAAGGGCTGGAGAAGCCGGTGAGAATTTACAAATTACATTGTGTGTAATGCAACTTATACTATTAGAAAAAGCAAATTATATTATTAGCAGCTCCCACAGGAAAGGCACAATATAAATGCAGGTTGTTGTATTAAACTAAGCTCAGTGTCTCATATTTCATAGGAAAGATAATGCATTGTTAAGACATTTATGATGTATACTTTTAGACACCAAGGCAGCAGGAAAAGAGGGCACAGATTAGGGGTTGTGAAGGGTAGTCTCAGCCACAACTGTGTGCTTCTAGTCCAGGGGCCTCCTTTGAAAAGCTTCCTCAGTGAGAACTGCATCTTCAACTTCACTATTTCCTATTCTTCTCTTTTTCCATTTCTATCAATTCACTCGTATAAGCAAACTGACTCTTACACATGGGAATAATTGAATAGTGGAGACTATTATGAAGGCTGGCCCCAAAACAGACTGAAAACTGGGATTATAGGTAGCACACAATACAATTTACATTCATATAAAATGCCTTTCATATCAGAAGATCTCTCAGAGGACTTGACAAAGCTAGAGAGCACCTGAGCTGGAGGTGGCAACCGGGAGGGGTGGGGTAGGAAAAGTAACCAAAATCTCCATCAAAAATGTATGTTTTGAGATGAGCCTTGAACAGGGGAGGATCATCCAGAACTGTCCTCTCTTCACCAGGGTCCTCGACCTTAAGGCCTTCATCCTCATCCAACTACAATGGCTTCCCATCACACAGGGGATACAGTTCAAGATCCTTGTCCTCAGTTTCAAAGCCCTCCATGGCCTTGCTCCCCCCCTACCTCTGCGACCGCCTCACCCCCTACCAACCTGCCCGCTTCTTCCGCAAGTCTTCAGCCACTCTGCCCCCACCCACTGGAACTCCATCCCGCAGTCCCTCTGACTCGCCCCCTCCCTTGCTCCTTCAAGACCCTCCTCTTCGAACGTGTCTTTGGTCACCATCCTTCCCGCGCTGCCCTCACCCCTCCCTGATCCTGACTCCCATCTTGGGTCTGAAACACTAATTGTCCAGTGCCTTGGGACGTCCTCCCGATGTGAACGGTGCCATACAAATGTAATTTTGTTGTTGAACAGGTGAGGGTGGGAGCGAAGTGGAGGGACACTGGGTGGAGTTCCAGAGAGTGGGACAAAATGGCTAAAATATCATCCGCCAATAGGACAGAGGACTTGAAGCAGTCCGATATTTGGTGAGGGAAGGGACATCATAATTCCTGAAAGATAATAATAATAATCAATTGGTCACTTCAATCCATGACTGTTTGTGGGACACTGCTGCCGCGTTTTGCCCAGAAAATATACAGTCAATTCGCTTTACAGCAGTTTCTATGAAGCACTTTGACACGTCTCGAAGACGTGACAAGGCGTTATATCAAAATGCAAGGATTATTATTATTATGATATTATTATCATTAACGTTAGAGTTTTAAGAGACAAACACCAGCAGTGGAGACAATATGCCATATGTTAAACAATGTGATGGTTGTGCGCGACCTGTACGGTGAGAGGGGCTGCGAGGGCATCCGATTTGTGGATGAGTGGGTGGAAGTGAGTGGCAGCAAAGCGGGTGCCTCTCAGCACCAATCCACCCGGAGCCACAACAAAAAGCACAGCACCAAAACACCTCCTGGTGGCATTCTCTCGAGGAGAACTGGTGCAGAGGTGCAGGTTCGGTCCCAGCGTTGCATTGAGTCTCTCTCGAGTTAACAGCAAAGGCAGCCGTGTCTGCTCACTAATTCGCAGCCAGCAGCAGCAGCAGAGACTGTGATAACCATGGCTTGCGAGGGGAGCCCTCCCTTTTCAACAGAATCACCAGAGAATGATGCTGATTCTCCACTCCTGCTGAAGAAGGGTATGTCGATTTTCCTGGACGTAAGTACAAACTGCAATTGTGTAAAATGCACCCCCCTCCCCCCCAAAAAAAAACCAGTCATCTTCTTTTAACTGGTTAAAATCGTAACGTTGGAGCAAAGATTATATGAGCACTTCATTTCTCTTACTTTCTGAGAGCACATGCATGTTGCTGTGTGTTGCTGATTGAACTCCTAACGCATGTTTGTCTGTGTGGGCAGACCATCAGCAAAACGCTTCTCACGCCTTTTTTAAGACGATAATAATAATAATAATAATAATAATAATAATCCTTGCATTTGATATAGCGCTTTTCATGTCAGGAGGATAGATGCACCCGACCAAAAAGCCAGTCAAGTGACCATGAACCCATCCGAATATATTCTGTCATTTTTCTGACACCCAGAATAAAAGTTTGGGAGTTTAGTGGATGGAGTGAATCCCTGATCTGTCTCTTTGTTGCACTCACTCTGTCGCTTCCTTTCGGTGGAACCATTTAAATGTTCAATTGCTCCATTAAACCACTGTCGCTAACTCCAGAACAACCTGGTTTTTTTTTAGCAGTTGAGTCCTTCCATATTTGCAAATCTCTTTAATTTCTGGAGCGGTGAAGCTCTGGTCTGTTCAGTTGCAGGTTAACAACATAGGCGGGACTGGGTGGTTAGGATCAGACTGTGGAACCTTTGCTCCAAGTTACACATACATAGTTAATAGCTCTGAGGATAGATCAGCCAAGATTCACATTGCCATCTCTCACATATCAATGTCTCACCAGATTTCTCCAGAAACCAGCTAAACCACACAGACTGGAGGTTAAGAAGGTGCCTGGTTTGACCCCCCCACCCCCAGATGTTCTGCATCTACTAGATTTTAACCAGAGCATCAGTTAAATTGTTGCAATTGGCCTCAGTGCTTTTGGTTATTTAAGAGATAATTAACTATAGGGTATCTGCTTCTGATCAATACCAGTTCCTCTGTTTTGAGGGTGTGTACTTTTGGACAGGGGGTGAGATAAGATCAGCCTGGGTTGTGATTTGGTTGAATGGTTGAATAGCCTACCAACAGGTCCTGTCAATATATAATGGCCACCGAGGGGTGAAGTAACAGAGAGTGCCTAATGCCCATGGAACCTTACCCTCAACAAAAAGGAAAAACAGTGTTAATGGCTTCGGGAAACAGGGGATGAAATTGGTGCAGTAAAAATCGTTGCGAGTCAAACAGTCATCTTCTTTAGTAAATATCACTAAATAAAGAGGATTACTGAATTCTTCTTTAATACTGAGATTTTTGTTGAAACGCTTGTGAATTAATTAGAAAACCACGGTGACGCACTTCAGTTTTAAGTTATAATAAGAGAAAATGTTATTGATTAGCAATAGTCAGAAAGGGTTCTAAATTCAAAAAGAAACAGAATAGTAACATTAAAGTGAAACATGCAGCAGAACAATGACACCATTTTAAAATATTGGGTCAGTAATTGCTTTAATAAAATGCATAAATGAAAGTCATTGTTGAGTACAGTGTATTATTCTGGTAGAAAGTAAATCATCTGAATCTACCATAATGAAATAACCTTCTCTAACAAAGGAGCCCCTTAACCTGTAGCAGAGGAGCATTCAATGAAATAACCACTAACCCAATCACATCCTCATATCATCGAATGCTTTCGATCTTACAAACTGGAAGTTGAATTGCAAACTTCATAAATAATAGCCGAAGTTTGTGCAATTTTTTTGGTCAGTCGAGTGTCTGACACATGCAGAAACCTTGACTATGCTTAAGAGTATCCAAATCAAGCTGCGGTTTCCATGCATCCTACCTACACATAGAAGTTCCAGAGATAGATTTTTGGAAGGGAATGTGCACGTATAGATACAGCAGGTCTTCCAGTAATATACATGGACAACCTTAGATATCTGATACTTCCTAATGCAACAATCCTTTTAAATTGCTGAGATATTTGAGATATTACTACCGTTCCATCAAGCCCTCAATTTTATTAAAAATCTTTTCCAAAGTCTGTATTGCTGAATGTTAATGGGTATTCATCAATTGAAAGGGTAGCGTAATGTGATCATTTTCTTAATGTGAAGGTGGGTCAGTAACGAGTTCTGCATCCTTAATGTTTTTCCACAGTATAACTGCAAACGACAGAATTTCTTCAAGGCTGTTTCCAATAACTGACAACTCTGGTGATACAGCTATTGTTTATCAAAATTGGAACATATTAAATCATATTTGATGACCACAGATTATATTATAAAATATTTTGATCATCTAGTTTAATATTTAGTGGTCATAGATCAATAATGATACATTTATTATTATTATTATTTGACTAAAATAAACCATTGACTCACAAACTGATCATTGCAGTGGAAGCTAATATAGATTAAATCTCACTGAATAACTGCAACCCAACTGTAAACTGTATTCTGAAATAAAGAAAATGTTTGCTTTTGATTATAAAACTGTATTTAAATTCTTGCATTTGATTAAGCACTTGTTTTCTATTGTTTGCGCATCAGGCATACTGACAATATGACTTCTGTATTGTAATTCAGATCTGGTTCTTATTTATTTTGTTCATTCTCTGCACAATACGATTTTGTCAGATTGTTCAATAACCTGCTGGATCATGCATTTTAATTAAAAATTGTGAATGGGTGTTCTTCAACTTGTTCTTTTTGTCCAGATGCATAGAATGATTTAAGAATTAGCATATTACACAAGTAATTCAGCTGTCATATGTTTTATTGAGCTCCAAGCTCAGCTGTTTTTTTTGGTTAGAAAATGTAATCTAAAAATACTCAAACCTCAATTACAATACTTGAGAGAAATTGTCAGGGCCTGGTGATTCATTTGCAAGAACTATGAATGACTTTCATGTCTTGTTTCATTAATATTGCTAAAAGAAAAAGTAGGTCAGCAGCTTTTTCATGTTTAGTTGCTTCGCCATCTTATTTACTCTGCTAATCAATCTATCCTGTGCGATTTGTTTCAGATTTTACGGAGAGCAGACAAAAATGGTAAGAATTTAGAATCAACTTTAGTACTTATACAATGATAAATTTAATTTATATACAGTAATACCCTCATGTAGGAAACAGCTCAGAGTGCTGTACAATGATGAAGTTGAACAGCAGGGAAGAGGGAGATGACCATGGGGGCAATCGAAGAGGTAGGATTTAAGGTGTGACTTGAAAAGAGATAGAGTGGCAAGGGAGGAAAAGTCAGAGGTTAGTGGCATAGAATCTGAAAGATCGGCAACTGATGGTGATATGGGGAGAAGGCGGAGGGGGACACAGAAAGCCTGGGCTAACCAGGCGGATAGGTTGAACAGAGTAGTGGGAATTTTGGAGATCAGAGAGATAATGAGGTGGTAGGATATGAAATGATTTTAGGCAATGGTGAAGGCCAATCGCTGAGAGACAGGGAGCCAGTGAAGCTTGGCAAGGATGGGCTTGTGGAATATTATACGACCATCGGTCTGGTAGAATTAGTCAGATTCTACCATCAGTCACTTATAATAATAATAATCCTTGCATTTGATATAGCGCTTTTAACGTCGGGAGGACGTCCCAAAGCGCTTCACAGAATATACTGTAAAGTGAATTGACTGTATATTTGTGGGCGAACGCGGCAGCCAATTGCGCACAGCAATGTCCCACAAACAGTCGTAGATTGAAAATGACCAATTTATTATTGTTTTTGGTTTTGGAGGGATTATTATTAGGCGTGTGGAGTAAGGAAACTTGCCCAAGGTTTCGCCCTGCCTGGAATTGAACTCAGGTCTCTCGCTTGCAAAGCGAGTGCTCTAACCACTGAGCTACTTTTCTACTTGTTTGTATCTCAAATCAAATCAAGTCTCCACAAGAATATTCTGATTAATTGAGCTGTTGAATAGGGCCAGGAAATTTGCATTCATTTGGTTTTGAAATATCCTAAATCAAAATGTTTACTGGTGGTGTGTCATAATTATACTAAGTAGTATGAGTCAATACTGCTACTCTTCTGGGTTTTTATGTTGTATTGTATTCTGATCAAATAAATTATTAAAATAACACTTATTCTACTCCTTTATTATCCATAATGGTATTTTCTGAAGTAACAGTAATGAAACAGCCTTGTTCAAAGTTACAAATGGCATTTTGTCCATCTGTGACCAGGGCTTCCTCTGTCTCCTCATCCTCCTTGACCTCTCTGCTGCCTTTGACACTGTCCTCCATGACCGCCTCTCCTCTCACCTTGACCTTCATGGTCCTGTCCTTGACTGCTTCAGATCCTACCATTCAAACCATTTCCACTTCATTGCCACAATCGGCTTCTCCTCCAGCTCCTACACCGTCTTGGGCTATGTCCTTGGTCCACTCCTCTCTTGGTGACATCATCTGCAGACATGGGATCAACTTCCTCATGTATGCAGATGACACCAATTCTATCTCTCTGCCTCCACCATTGACTCCAAGACCACTGCTGTCCTGATAGAATATCTGTCAGACATCAAGTTCTGGATGAGAGCTAACTTTCTCCAATTGAAAGTTAACGCTTGATTGGTTCCCGTCAGCAGCTCTACACTTCAGACACTGCAGCATCACTATCCAAGGATTCACACTCCAGCTTACTGAGCCAGTATGGAACCTTGGCATCTTGTTTGACCCTCAACTGTCCTTTCTACTCCATATCCATGCCATGACCTGCTCTGCCTTCCCCACCTCCGCAACATTGCCCGGCTCTGCCAACGCCTCTCCATCAGGCTGCCGAAACCCTTATCCATGAATGTGTTACTTCTAGGCTCGACTACGCCAACTCCCTGCTTTGTTAGCCTTTCTAATACTTCCCTCCACACACTGCAGATCGTTCAGAACTCTGCAGCTCGTGTCCTCTCCCACTCCAGGCTCCTATCACTCCCAGTATCACTCGGCTCAACTGGCTCCCCATCCTCCAGAGGATAGAGTTCAAAATCCTCGCCCTCACCTTCAAAGCCCTCCATGGCCTTGCTCCTTCCTACATCTGTTACCTGCTAACTCCATATCAATCTGTCAACTTTCTATGCTCAGCAGGCTTTGGTCTGCTCCATGTTCCCAGCCCGGTCCTCCCACCATCGGCGGTTGGGCCTTCAGCCTCTCTGCCCACCTTTTGTAACTCTATCCCACAGTCTCTTCACCTTTCTCCCTGCCTTGCTTCCTTCATCTCAAGACCTTCCTCTTCTACCACATCTTCGGCTACCCTTCTACCCCTACCAACCCTGATCCACCCTTCCTGACCCCCAATCCACCCCCCCCATCCCCCGCTCGGGTCCAAATCCCTGACTGTCCAACAACTTGGGACATCCTCCCGATTTTAAAGGTGCTATGCAAATGTAATTTATTGTTGTTATATGGATGTGTCTGAGCTGTGTTTCTTCAACTATTTTGGCACGCTTTCAACATTAAATCAGAGACTGAAACCTCATTAGCTGAATATAATGTATCAGCCTGGCTCAGTGGGAGCACACTCACCTCTGAATCAGAAGGTTGTGGGCTCAACATTGGGATTCAGAATTACTTGGTCTGAGCTGATGCCAGGCTAGGGGAGCTATGCCAGGCTGGGGGAGCCTGCATTGCCGGAGGTGCTGTCGTTCGGATGAGATGCTAAACTGAGGTCCCGTCTGCCTGTTCAGGTGGACTTTAAGATCTCATGGCACAATTCGAAAAGAGAAGGGAGTTTCCACTGGTGTCCTGGCCAACAATCACCCGAATAAAAAATAAATAAAAAAAATTGGTCACTCACTCCATTACTGTTTGTGGAACATTGCTGTGCGCAAACGAGCTGCCACATTTTTTGTCCACAAAACATACAGTTAATCCACTTTACAGTACATCCTGTGAAAGACTTTGAGATGTCTCGATGACTTGATAAGGCGCTATGTCAAATGCAAGGATTATTATTATTATAAACATACTCCTGTATATTTATACACAGGAGTATGTTTATGATAATAATACATATAGTATATCTGCTATTGTGCAATTTTGTAGATTCTGTAACAATTAAGAGATTTTAAAATTAGATTTTAATGCAATACCATCTGGATGAAGGTATATCATAATAAAAATTATCAATTATTTCACTTCAAGGCTGCCTTTTAATCTTGCTTTCTGCTTTCTTTGTCTTGCAATATATATTTATTCCATTGGGATTAAACATGTACTTTTAGCAGTACAGTATTAGAAAAGTAAACATTCAATGTACACTAGATTATTGGCTGGATATAAAAGCAATAGAAAATAAGTAATGTAGAGTTAGGATATTGGCATAAAGGGTCAGTGATGAAGAAAGATTGAGAAATTCGTGATTTTTAGACTAGAATTGGAGAGGTTAAGGACTGACCTGATTAAAGTCTTCAGATAATGAAGGGTAACTATGGGGTCAAAAAATACAGATTACAAATTACACAGCCACTACACTTTACAATAAATACTGTGAAGTGCTTTGAGATGTGGCAATGATGTGACAATCTGAGACAATCAGTGCCTGAGACAATCAAATGTAAGAATTATTATTATGTTCAATTCTTTCCATTAAGCCAGTAATGAAAGAGCACAAAATTAAAATTGTCACAAAAAGAATTAAAGAGGTGGTTAGGAAGGTGTTATATTAACTGTATAAAGGTTGTTGCTAAAACAGAATCCATAAATTATTTTAAAAGAAATTGAGATAGATGCATCAAAAAGAAGAATATCAAAAGGTATTAGTTCATATGGAGAAAAATTTCAGCACAGATTTGATAGGCAGATAGCATGATTCAGTGCTGTGAAAATGTATGATTGTAGATTGGGTTCAAGGTGCTGCTGATACCGACATGACGTGAATTGCAAAGACAGGATGGATATTGTTCAGTAATTTATCTGTGAGCTGAAGAGTAGTTCTGATTTTAAATATTCACTCCCTTCTGAGCATCGTTTATCCTTGCTGGAATGACAATCAATTAAATGGCAATCAATTAAAAATGCAAGTCATTGTCGTATTCTTTTTCTTGCTCCTTATCCTTCTGTATGGTAAAACAATGACAAAATGCTGTGCGTTGGCAGGTGACGTTTTCACCTTGCCCTAGCTATTCATACTATTCCATGTCCTGTAAATCATACATTTTTTTTATTTTAGTGGTTATCTTATAAGGAAATTTTGATTAATGCATTCTTTTTATAATCTATAGTTAATACCTTTACAATCAAGGAACTGTTCACAACTTGTTTACTAGTACTGTATGAGACACATGCTTATGTTAAGTTTGTTTTAACATCCAAATAAAAAATAATTTGCTGAAAATACTCTCGTGCCTTGCGACGTCCTCCTTGACATGAAAGGTGCTATACAAATGTAAATTTGTTGTTGCTGGTGAAAATGCCTCCAACACCAAGTTGGGGTTGATGTTAAAGAAAACTTGGCAAATGCAGGTTCACATAATACAACGTAAAGGTCTTCAAAAAGGTCTTCAGGAGTTTTTTTTCTGGCAAAAAAAATTATGCTGTTACTTAAAGGGCCTCAATGTGAAATTTGTATATTGCCTTATAATTTTAACTTGAGGAGTCAAGGTTGGACGTTTGGTACAATGAGTTATTGTATCTATCTACACCTACCACCATGCCCCACGCCCCAACCACTGTGGCGGCGGGGTGGCCCTCATATCCAGGGCATCACTTGCCCTATCCCCCTACTCCACCGGATCATTCCCCTCTTTTGAACACCTTACCACCATTTTTCCCACCTCTCTCTGAAAATCCTCCAAATTTACCGCCCACCCAAAATCCTCCCCCACCTTCATCTCTGACATCTCCACCCTCCTAGCTTTCCTCTGCCTCTGCTCCGACCGCCTCATCATTCTAGGCAACTTCAACCTCCACTTCACCTCTCCTGCTCTACTTCCTCAGACTTCTCCTCTCTCCTCTCCTCTCTCAACCTCCCCCTCTATATCCACTCTGCTACCCACACCCATGGTCACCCGCTCGACTTGGTGATCACCCGGGGCCTCAGCATTTTGGGTGTC